AGCGTGATGATGAAACAAAGGAGTATGTTCGGTCAGCAAGCAAAAAAACTAGAGACCACTACGTTGGAGTTGTTTGCTTTCCATGGATGGAAATTTAATAATAGACTCTGTCATGCATATTTTTTTTGCATTTCTCGTTTCCCTGACTTATCTTCAGCAATGTCGCTAACACTATGTAAAAATGTAAACATTGTGTGTGGAGACGCAGAAGCAGGAAGTCTCTTTCATTTTCTAAAAAAAATATACACACGTCATTTATGGTTATGTCAACGGTACGTTTTCCATATTAACATATGCTAGTTATTTTGATGTGAATTTGAAAGAATATTTTACTTTAATTTATTTTTTAATAATTTATGGTTATGTAGATTTGAAAGGATATTTTACAAAACACGGCTAATGCCTCATTATCGACAGTTTGTCCGGATCAACGCGCTGGAGATTCCGACTTGAATTAGTTCTCTCTCTAATCCATCGATGCAAGTTGCACGCCAGCATCCACTGGTTGTGCCAAGCACACGACCGAACTCTTTGTACCTACGCGCAACGTCGTCACCGGCCGGCGCACTACTAGTCAGCTGCAAGCCGATCCAGAGTATACTTGGGATCGTCGTCCTTGACAGTTTTTGACCTTGTGCGTCACGCACGTCTTGCCTTTGTTGTCTGCTCGCGTAGAAGTTCTTGCACACCCCTTGTCTGCAAAAGGAGACCGAAAACGATGTGTTTTGTGCTAGTAGACATTGCATGTTTGGTGCCAAATAGACATCACCTTTGAAAGTTTTGAACGGATTCACCAGTCTACACTTTGCAACGCAAACGGCCGATTGAAAATGTGAGCCCTGCCAGCTGTTCTGGTGGGAAATAAAAGGGCATCTCGTTCGAATTCCTATCGAAATTATAGAGTCCGGTAGAGGAATAATGTAGAGTAGTTTGTTACTACTAAGCTGGCAATCTGGCATCTTGTGCAAGTTTTTCTTGAGATGCTTGTACTGTTTCTGACTGCCGTTGACAAGTGAAAGCGAAACGCGCGCGCTGCGTGCCGCAGCTGCAACTCTACAGTCACTTGTGCCGGAATGTGGCGCAATTTCCTGCGTGATAACAAAAATCCAGTACAGCCGCAAGATTTCATCTTTGTCGCCATGCATTGCAGACTTCTAAATAAAAGCGACGTCTATTTCGGAATGTTTCGATGAGAATATATAATATATAATGATCGATTTTCTGGAACATACTTGGTGCTCCAGTTAGCACTTTAGTAGTGATTGTTCTGGGCCTGTTTAGATGGCGATTTTTTTTGCAAAATGCACTGTAGCACTTTTCATTGTTATTTGGTAATTAGTGTCAAATCATAGTCTAATTAGGCTTAAAAGATTCGTCTCGTGAATTTCGTCTAAACTGTGTAATTAGTTTTATTTTTTATTTATATTTAATGCTTCGTGCATGCGTCAAAGATTCGATGTGACGGAGAATCTGGAAAGTTTGGTAAAATTTTCTGAAACTAAACTGGACCTAACCGTGAAAGTTCAGCATGTCGCGTCGCTGGCTGCTTTATCAGCAAGTCTTGACTGTTTGGTAACTGACAGACAGTAACCTGCGGCAGACTTTGAGAGCAGTCACAACTCACGAGAACATAGCTAGGATAAGCATACAACTCTGCAGGTAGAGCAAGTTTAATAAAAACGCCGGCAGCAGGCTGCAAACCCATGCCACATCACTCACCAGTCTGCTACAGCCTTCAGCAATGAAGACTGATATAGTGGGGCAGACTGTAGGATTGGCTGTAGTATTTAATGCTCAGATCAATATACGTGCAATGAAGACTGATATAGTGGGGCAGACTGTAGGGTTGGCTGTAGTATTTAATGCTCAGATCAATATACGTTCAGATGTTCAGAGCATTGCGGGCTGAGAGACAAGTTTTTTTCTCGTGGCTTGTGCTGCAGCCGGCTGCAGCCGGCGAGAAGGGAATCGCCTGCTCCACAATCTCTCTCCTACCGTGGCGTCTTTTTTGTCGACGTGGACTGCTCTTCGCCGGCTCAAAAGCGTTATTATACTTGCTCTAATACATCGTGATCAGGCAGATTAATATAATAATATTAGTCTCCTCAGCCACTTGCGGCGTATCGCAATCACTCGTGTTAGTTATTGACGATGTTTCTCAATTCTCATCACAGGGTTTCAACGCCAGACAAATTCTGCATGGCTGGCAACTGGCAACTGGCATGGTTGCATTGTAGGCTAACCACAAGTGTTCAGTCTTCAGTGGAGGCTGGAGGAACTGATATTTTCTACCCTTTTCTTTTGGATGCATATATACTGTAATATGCTTCCTTCCTTATTTGAATCAAGATACCTTCAAACTTCAGGCCTCCTCCTCTGAATGCGCGCACGCACACACACATATATAACTACTACCCTGTAGCTACTTTGAGTTACGATAATTACTATGTTAATTTACGAGATTATAGTAACTCCTTACTAAGTGGTTTACTATAACGTTATGATAAATATCCCCATGTGTTATAATAACCTAACTATCGTAAATATGTATTTGCATTATCGTAAATTAGTATATAAAATTATCGTAAATGGAGGTGGCTACAGAATAACTTATTTTGTAGCTGGCTATTTATATATATATATATATATATATTCAGTAGCCAAGCTACATATACACACACATATTACAAGATTTCTATTGCATAGCTGCTGAAAAAGCACCGATCCAGGCATCCGCGACAGCCCTATCCTTCCTTGGCAGTCTCGTTCTCCAAAGATTTGCGTCGGAGACGCATGCCACCAAAATTTGCCTTGTAGAGGCAGGTTCAGACTTGAAGATCGCTCCATTCCTGCGCTTCCAGAGCTGCCAGCAGCATAGCGCTATGAATATGCTGAAATGTTTAGAAGGTACTGCAGCCGGCCTTCTAATGCAATGAAGATCATCTAGGAAGGTGGAGATATGGTTGCATATATTGCAGTCTAACAACCACATATACACGTGTGTTCAGTTCAGTGCAGAAACTGGTATTTTTCTTTTACCTTCAGGCTTCAGGTCTTCTTATCCTTCTTTAATGATATATGTGAATTGTGAAAAGTTGTAAACCTTGTTTTCCCCTGAATTTCAAAGTTCTATTTTTTTCCAGTAGCGGCTGGACAGGTTCTTGTTCATCATCAATTACTAATGGCCCTATGAGCGAAAATATTATATACGTTCTTGTAAATCTTTCAGTGCTGGGAAATGTTAAAATGCTTCTGTGAAAAGTGCATGGTAATGCTCTTGTATCTCTTCGCGCGATGAAAAATAAAACGATCAGCAGGAAAGCCAAATTCTGGTTCGCGCTAGAAAGAAAAAGAGCGCCATAATCTGGTAGGTATGTTCGTTTCTATATATATGTATATATATTATATTATATAAAGCTTATCTGACAGGACCAGCTAATAATGTTCTTTTCTTTCCTTTTTCTGAAAAGGACCAGCTAATAGTGTTCAAAAATATGCATCGTACGTACAGTACAGTGACAACGATCGTGATGTCTCTAAAACATATATATATCCCTAGCCTGCAAAGCACTTGATTCATTCGCCTTCATTATTCATTGATTTGGACTCGAACCATATCTTCATAATGCATGACAAACCATTCTATATATACCAATTAATGCCCAACAAACATATGCAGAGTCACACTAGCAAACACACAGCATGTCATGCATGTTACCAACAGACTGTCACGGGAGCAAAAATAACCAAACATGCATGAACACTAATACTAGCTATATATAAACGCAGATATGCATTGCCAGTTATGCAGAGGCTAGCCATCAAGTCAAGAAACACTTAACCCTGAAAAGGACTGCAGCAGTGTAGTCAACAGAGTGTAGCTGCATTGCATTGGGGTGGTAGTGCTGAGAGTACTGCTAGCTGGTCATGGCTGCTGCTTCTTCCTTGTCAGTGATGGTGCTCTTGTGCCTAGCAGCGGTGGCCTCGGCGCAACTGTCGGCGACATTCTACTCCAGGTCGTGTCCCAGAGCTCTGGCCACCATCAAGTCCGCCGTGACGGCTGTGGTTGCACAGGAGCCTCGCATGGGGGCCTCCTGCTCAGGCTCCACTTCCATGACTGCTTTGTCCAAGCAAGTCCCGTCCCGTCCCTCTCAACTCTCAAGTCTCATTCTCTCCTCGCTCCTACTTAAATTTGACTACACATCTATCGTCCATCCATCAGCAATATGGTATAGTAGTAGTGTTTATTGATCCTAAAGGCCTAGCAACAATCTTTGATGTCCACTGGTTAGAAATTAACTACAGTATGTATGACATATTGCATCATCTTTAGCTACCTCAAAATTTTAAGTCTGTTCTCACAGTTTACCACTGTTCTCAGATTGTAGCCGTACTAGTTTAGTCGCCAGAGCAAAATGAACACTTTTGTCTTTTGACACTTGGAAAACATATGTCCAAGACTTATTTTACCCTTTATTTGATCTTCTTACGAACTTAAACAAATATTTACTCCTTTCATCAGGAAAAAATATATTTTACGTACTTTGGTTAGCACACAATTTCCATGAGCTAGCTGTTCTTTAATTAATTAGAAAAAAACATGTAACAACTACTGGTACTACTTATTTTGTTTTCTTTACTTTATGTAACATAACATTTGTGTACTGTCCAAATAATAAAAATACTTTTGTACTTGCTCCACATGCATGGACGACCTGCAGGGTTGCGATGCGTCGGTGCTGCTGAATGACACGGCCACCTTCACCGGTGAGCAGACCGCTAATCCGAACGTCGGGTCCATCAGAGGTTTCGGCGTCGTCGACAACATCAAGGCGCAGGTGGAGGCCGTGTGCCCGGGGGTCGTCTCCTGCGCCGACATCCTCGCCGTCGCCGCCCGAGACTCCGTCGTCGCGGTAAGAAATCAAACACCCCGGCCGGCCGGACGGCTCGAATTACACGGATCCCGGCCAGCTAGACTTTAATTCGGTATACGTACGTTCATGTGTGCTGTGCAGCTGGGAGGGCCTTCGTGGAGGGTTCTTCTTGGGCGGAGGGACTCGACGACGGCGAGCCTATCTCTGGCCAACAGCGACCTGCCAGCGCCGTCCCTGGACCTGGCCAACCTCACGGCCGCGTTCGCCAAGAAGCGGCTCAGCAGGACCGACCTGGTCGCTCTGTCAGGCGCGCACACCATCGGCCTGTCGCAGTGCAAGAACTTCCGGGCGCACATATACAACGACACCAACGTGAACGCGGCGTTCGCGACGCTGCGCAAGGTCAGCTGCCCCGCGGTGGCCGGCCACGGCGACGGCAACCTGGCGCCGCTAGACACCGCCACGTCCGTCGCGGTCGACAACGCCTACTACACAAACCTGCTGGCGCAGAACGGGCTGCTGCACTCCGACCAGCAGCTCTTCAACGGTGGCGCCATGGACGGCCTGGTCCGCACGTACGCGTCCACGCCGACGAGGTTCAGCAGGGACTTCGCGGCTACCGGCCTGTACCGCTGTACGTACGTCCCAAGTGATCCGACGATCCAACACTAGTGATCAGTGATCACTATAATAGGCCGGTTGCTCCATTGTCAGTTCCGTGTTTGTGCTTGTACCGATCGATCGTTCAAGAACTGCCCTTTCTCGAGTCAGCAAGCTAAGGGTGTGATATGACTCGGAAAGTGGCGTCTAGCCTACCCATCACCACAACATATTTAATAATCTTCTCTGAGTGTCTTTTTTTGTAAGGAAAATTGACACATGGTTTTTTGTTATTCTTCCCAATTTTCTTTGTCAAGTGGCCTAGGGGTTTTAGTCTGATATATGCACAATCCCGGAAAAAAAAAGAATTCCCAAACCAACATTTCCTAACTGCAGAAAAACCTTTGGCCACTTAGTAGATAACTATTTGAAAAATTTTTCGTCAGCCTAGAGGCTCCTTCTAGAACCTACTTGTAACGCCCCGACCCGGGAAGACGGCTAAGGCCCACTCTACACGTTGAATGAGCCACACCTGCTAATTAACTCTTGCGCTTTCGTCCTCGCTTCACGCAAAAGGATCGATCCGGAGTTAATAACCTCCCAAGCTCCAGGCTTTTAAACTGGTCTAGCGTTCGTTCCATTTCCGGTATGGGACTAAACTGGGAATACTAGTACCTCGTTGCTGCAGTGTCGCGAATTTGGTCGGGTCCAACTGGCCCAATGGGCTGGGTCTCACACTACTCCATCTAGTGAACAAATTAATCCTTGATGTTTGTATAAGGTTCGAGTCAAACTTTTATAACTTTGAATATATAATAATTTTTAAGGCATTTGATTACAAAAAAACTCTAAAAACATCTAGACATAAATTGACTAGGTTTCTATATAGCATATCCTAAGTTGGAGGACTCCAACACGGAGCCTCCATGTTAATCCTAATATATAGATGAGAAAAAATAAAAATATATAATTTTTTTTAAAAAAATAGAAAGATCTGGCCATTAATTTTGGTCTATGATAACAGGGGTGGAGGGCAGAGGATATGTCGAGTATGCCTCAGCATATGCTATGGCCCGGTCTAACATAGTACACACATGTACATCTGTGTAAAAAAATAATTGTTCGACCATCAATCAATCCCAAGCGCCACGCCGACTTGCCTGCCTCACACCCTCAAGCCCAAATCCTAAATTCCATGTGCTGCTAAACGAAAGAGAGAGATGATCTTGAAAATTTTGGACTCGGGCAGATGCCAGACTCGCCAACTCGGACACCATAATCTCGACAACGGGTGACACTAATGGTCCCCTCATCTTGATGGGCGATATGGCAGACGCCAGATGGCTTGACGCCAAGTGTTGTGGCCAAGCACGGTTGGCGCCTCGGCAGTGGCCAGGTCACACCATCAGATAGAACCGCAGAAATTTCCAAATAAGTTTGTCAGGCCTAGGTTTAGGATTTAGTTTGCTTTTCAATTTCTAAAATGGTGTATTTAATTACTTATCAGTAGTTGCAATTATTTTATTTGAAACATCAACTAAAAAAATTAGACAAATAGTATTATAAGTCCCTTAATCTATTTTATGCCTATACTTTGAACTATCGTGTCTGAACTATTGGTATTGTAATTTGTGCAACTTTTCAACTTAATCTTTATCTCCCTTTAATTTATGACTTATCATGTTAATTGGTGCTTGTATACCGAATAATATTGCAAGTTTAACAATTCTTTACCACAATTTTACTGAATTGTGTATGTTTTTTTTGTGCGGCGTACTCTTAGGTAAAACCTAGATCCACCACTGGGTTGATTGGCTACTTCAAGATAATATAATTCTAAGGATGCTAATAACAGCCATTAGGCATTCACAAAAACCACTTGAAAACGACGTTGAAAACCTAGTCATGCATGAATATGAACTTTTGGTTTTGGAAGGACCTTATGATGAAAACGCATGAATGTGGGATCCATATCACACGCTGAAAACAGTGTAATAGTTGCAAAATGTCATGCGTGGTGGAAAAGGCGTTCTTCCAGTGGCACGATGTTCCTTGAGGAACTACAAGGGCCAGGTGCAACTACAGATATTTTTTTTAGAGCGAACAGTATATGCGACAGCTGCATACTGATACTGTGGTGTTTTCAATGAAAGACGGCCACAGCCCAACGGCCACAATTTTTTTTTTTGATACTAACGGCCACAGTTGTTGACCTATGTAGTCATGTAAATTCAACTAATCAACTGTGGCCTTATACGGAAACTGGAACGAAGGACCCAAACATCGTGCCATATTGAAGGCTGATTGCGATTTGAGAGCTGAGACAAGGACAACAAGGATAGCATCCAAATAATGAAATAATGAACAAGCATGCAGTTGAAAAAAGAAGTAAAAAAGAAAAGGTCATCAGTTCCTACTCTTTTTTCTTCCAGCTTAATTATTAGGATGCATGGATCACAGTGAATTAGTAATTAGCAGTAAAGCGTGAACTTTACACGCTACTCATTGTCTTAATGAATCAATCAAACATGTCGTAGTTAACTTTCAGACTATATTCATCAAACAGTCTTTGACTATGAGCTGACAGTTAGGACCCTTGGTCCAAAAAAGAAGCATAAACAAATGAGCGTTCCTTACTGCAGATAACCACATTACATCACGCATGCAAGTTGCAACGTGCGTGCGTACCCACGGATCGGCCACTTGCGCGCATGCATGTCGCGATCGTGCAATTTTTTACTATAGACGAGACAAATTTTATATGCTGATTGAATTTCAAGGCAAGACAATTCAGCTTGCATGCATGGTGGTATCCTTTGTGTAGAGCACTTAGCGTTAAGACCCACGTGTGTGCAGTGCAGGAGAAAAGACTTTTCCTTGCTCGCGTGCATGGAGCTATCCATCCATGTACTAGTGCTTACTTGTTGACCTTAAAAGATATTGTACTGAACATTCTCCTTAATCGATCAGTAGTATACTTCTGAACAAAATAGAGGAAGGAGTAGGCAGGAAGGATCGAGAGGAAGAAAGAAAGAAAGAAAGAAAGAAAGAAAGAAAGAAAGAAAGAGAGAAGGAGGAAGAGTCTTGCATGCCATCAACAAAATCTTAGAGTATAGTATACATTTTTTAGATGATGGGATGGAAAAAATTATCTCATCTCGAATCGAATGCGAGCCAAATATAAATCAATGATGTCAGGATAGAACTTCAAGCATCGCTTATCCTTGTGTTAAAACCTCCCCTCCGTCCATATTTGGCGAAGATACATAAGGCTGCTATGAACACAACATAAAATTTGTTAACCCAATTTTCAAAAATAAAAATATAGCTATATCTATCTAGGTTCTTGTGTCCATGTTAGATAGTTTTATTTTACGCTAAATTCGAGGCTCATATCTAGCCAGGAACCACGGAAATTCGTTATATATGAAGCCAAAATAGGGAATCTAAGAGAGATGTCATGTGCATGTTCAGCTGACAGGTCGAAGTTATCCTAAACTGACCAAGCACCCATACATTATTGATCGATAAACGTGTGCACTGTACATGCACTTTGCTGCGGTCCAGCCGACTTGCCATCGTTTTTTTTTTTTGGCTCCATACATGCATGTATAATAAAATAATCCGCAGAAAAATGCAGCATGAAATTCCTAAGAAAAAAGTGAAGCACGGCATGTCCCTATATATATATCTGCATGCAATGCAGCGCAGAGCATCGCATCCCACAAGCACCTCAGCAATAGAGCTTGATCATCGATCTGTAGCACTAGCTACATCGCATTGCTAGCAGCTAGTAGTGCTAGCTATCTCTCTGCCCGCCATGGCGTCTTCTTCGGTGTCAGCCTTGCTGCTCTTCCTGTGCTTGGCCGCGGTGGCGTCGGCGCAGCTCTCGCCGACGTTCTACGACACGTCGTGCCCCAACGCTCTGTCCACCATCAAGAGCGCCGTGAACGCCGCCGTGCAGAAGGAGAACCGCATGGGGGCCTCCCTGCTCAGGCTGCACTTCCATGACTGCTTTGTCCAGGCAAGTTCATTCCCTTCTCTTGCACCTTCATGCATGGCCTCACGTCTTGGTTAATTTCATGCAGTTTATTAGACGACGTCCATCACTTAACTGCATGCACTGTGTTTAAAAGTACTACTATTTGCGTGAGTAGTAATATTTTTTTACTTTCCTTGATGTTACAGTTATAGTTCCAATACTCGCGCTATCGCTATCTGCTAGCTTGGACGTTCTACTAATTTGACTGAAGTCACAATAGCAACCGGGAACAGTCAAACAATAATCATGTGCCTAACTTTCGCTAATGTTGTAACAAAATAATAATGGCTGCATTATTTGAATGCGTGTGATGACATGACATCAGGGGTGCGACGCGTCCGTGCTGCTGGCCGACAACGCCGCCACGGGCTTCACCGGCGAGCAGGGGGCGTTTCCCAACGCCAGGTCGCTGAGGGGCTTCGACGTCATCGCCAACATCAAGACGCAGGTGGAGGCCATCTGCAAGCAGACCGTCTCCTGTGCCGACATCCTCGCCGTCGCCGCCCGGGACTCCGTCGTCGCGGTAAGCAAGCCGACCGGCGGCATCAATCGGCGCCTCATCGATCGATATCATGCATGCATGCATGCTTGCAGATGAGGATTATATTCATCATCCCCTTCCTCGTGCATACAGTTGGGAGGGCCGTCATGGACGATTCCTCTGGGGCGGAGGGACTCGACGACGGCGAACCTGTCCCTGGCGAACAGCGACCTGCCGCCTCCCTCCTTCAACCTCGACCAGCTCATAAAAGCGTTCGGCAACAAGGGTTTCACTGCGACCGAGATGGCCACGCTCTCCGGCGGGCACACCATCGGGCAGGCGCAGTGTCTGAACTTCAGGGACCACATCTATAACGACACCAACATCAACTCCGCGTTCGCGACCTCGCTCAAGGCCAACTGCCCCCGTCCCACCGGCTCCGGCGACGGCAACCTGGCGCCACTTGACACCACCACGCCGTACAAGTTCGACAACGCCTACTACAGCAACCTGCTGAGCCAGAAGGGGCTCCTGCACTCGGACCAGGAGCTCTTCAACGGCGGCAGCACCGACAACACCGTCAGGAACTTCGCGTCCAACTCGGCGGCCTTCAGCAGCGCCTTCGCCGCGGCCATGGTGAAGATGGGCAACCTCAGCCCGCTCACCGGCTCCCAGGGCCAGATCAGACTCACCTGCTCCAAAGTGAACTAAGAAAAGTATAATCACCATACGCAAAAGCGTTCATTACACATGCGAATAATAAGGCTAGGCCATCAGAGTACTAGCGAACTAGCGTGGTATGTTTTACGAATTGAAAGAGACGTGTGTGACTTTGATCGAAAGATGCTAGCTGCAAAAGCCGCATGCATCATATCATCAGCATCAGCTTGATCAAGTTCTCAAAGAAAAGATGTACGTTATGCATTTCATAGGCTTATGCAAAGGCATGAACCCAGGATTCGCTTGCTTAATTATGTAATTCTTTATTTATGCTTAATTATGTGACTGTTTAATGCTGCATTAATTAAATATATGAAGTTTGAAGGCTAGAAAAGTGTTATATATGCAATCTGAAGAAGAGGTTCAACAGATGATATACATGGTATATAATTATGAATCATGAGGCATAACCTATATCTAATAATTAATGAAATGACTATAGATCGAGAGCTCAACCAAATTTTAGTTTTACGGTACACTACGTTAACTAATTGGATATTACTTACGGCCACTTCTAGCTTTTGCACCACCCAAATAAAATTTGTTTCAACTAATTGGTTGATCAAACATTAGCTCATTTTTGTGGTGGCTAGTTCATCAATCTAGCATAGGGTTGTCTTCAAATCAAAGTGCTTTCATAAATCCCACAAAAATATTTGATTTTATAAATAGATAGTCTAAAATTGGTACCGTATCTAGTTCTAGCATAGGGTTGTCTTCAAATCAAAGTGCTTTCACAATCTCAATTTTTTGAACAAATATATATTCTAGAAGAAAAAAATGATCAAACCCATATCTTAAACACTGTGAAAATCTTAACTACGCGTCAAGTATGCCTATTTAAAAATCTACCAATAATCAAAAAACAGTTGTTAAACGTATGTATGCAAATACCATAGAAGTTACCACCCCTTCATCTAGCTCACAACACCTTGCATACCCAAAATAGAACTCCCCTAGTAGCTCGGAACTTGGTTAACGGTGCTACCTCTAGCAGCTTGACTTTTAGGTATGACACTAGATGTGCTTTTTCATTATTAGGGTGATGAAGAACAAGCTAAGGTACACACATGGAAATGTAAAATCAGGTTGTCAACATCGTTTATTCAACTCGATGTTTACTGATAACGCTTTCATAATGCTAGAGTGGCGGCACGGGTCAGGGCAAGGTTGATTTCTTTTTGACAAATGCGGACTTTGTGCCTAATCATCCAAGACACTCGTCCAAGCTGTTTCGTCCTGTGCTACTCATGTGAACCCCGTCAATGTCGAGCTAGCTAGATGAGAATGACGTTTTGAGGCTATATACTACTAGTCATCACTTAACGAATGATACTGCTGGCACAGTGGTAGTTTAAGTCAAGAGTTTGGACATGTATATTTATATGTTTATCATTTTATATGCTTCTAATATATGATATATGCATTATGTGTGTTCAAAAAAATTTACTCGCTTGTTTATTTAAACAGTTATCTCTGACACACAAATATATATGGTTTCAAAATTAGTTCACAGAAATAAGAAAAAATGGAACCCGACTAATTAATGTCTTATCGGATATACTGCTAAACTGTCCTCAGCATTAATAAATATTTTCCCAGAATATGCAGGAAGGCTACACACTTTTTTAATAAAAAGAAGAGAGAGTTTGTTACAACCGCCCATCCATTGGATCGGCCGGAGTGCCGACCGAAGCTGAGAGACTGCTAAGTACTATCTCTCTCTCTCTCTCTCTCTCTCTCTCTCTCTCTCTCTCTCTCTCTCTCTCTCTCTCTCTCTATATATATATATATATATATATATATATATATATATTGTGTGTTCCAAATTATAAGTTCTGGTTTTTCTACGTGAACGTAATGCGAGCGACCGACAATAAAGACCGCTAAGAGCGGACTTTGCCAACATGTCTAATGTAAATGCATCTGTTTGTACTTGATTATCAAGACATTGAAGACGAAGATGGTTACGTGCTTCTAGCTGACACATAACATGCATGCATATGCCCCGGGTTTAATGCATAATGCTGTGTATTATTTGCAGCACACTGCTCATGTGACGTGCCGCCTGTCTTCCTTCACCAGCACTTGGTACCAACCATTCTATCATCTGTTGTATTGCGAGCTAGCTAGCCAGACAGTGTGGAGGAGGTAGAGGCCTCCGCCTGCTACGCCGCACCTCCCGGCGGAGGCGCGGGAAACATGCGTGATAGATGGACGTGTAAAGAAATGATACGTAAAACTAGGGTTTCATTAATTCTTGTACCAATAACCCCCTTTACTGTTACAAGTGTTCCCTATTTATAGGGCTCAACTACCACTTTCACCGAGTTTACAGTAGTATCCCTCAACTGCTACAGTACATTCTTGGGATATTCCTCTACTCGCCTTCCGTCTCGGGGGTAATCTTGCCATGCCGCCATCTGGTACTGGGCCTGCATGATCAACCGGCCCATCGGGCCTCAGGACTCGGCGAGGGGCTTTAGGGCCTCCGCCGTAGGTCTCCGCTCTGTCCGGCCTCAGGATCCGACGACGAGCCTTCGGGCCTCCGCCTCTGGGAGTGCCGAAGCCGTAGGCCTTCGGCATACCAGGATCACCGATCTCCTGCTTGGGTCTTCGCCCCGACGGGCGGAGACCATGCTGGAGCACCCGCACAGTCCACGAGAGCCCTCATCTGGTTACCTGCACATACCCAAACAATGTTGGCATTTAATTAGTCTCCTGGCAGAGCGGCCTCCGCCCCATCGGCCGGAGTCGCCTACGAGCCGGCCGGGCGGAGACCGCGCCAGGGCCGTCGTCCGCAACCTGCAAGCTCAATCTAACAAACCGTTCTCTTTCCCAGGTTTGGAGGCGTGGGAGCAGAACCTCTGTTTTGGTAACAGGTCGGAGATGCCCTCGTAACCTGCTGACTGCGTAGGTCTCCTTCACACGCGGTGGCCATGTTACAACAGTTCCCCCCTTTTGAGACCGCGGTCCGCCTGAGCGTGCCGTGAGCTCAAAACGCCCTAAGCAAGGACGTCCGCGGGGAGAGAGACTGCGCATAGTCACGTCTCCGACCGATCCCCGCCGGTTCCCCCCTGGCTCGCTCTGGCGCGGCCGTTGGTCTTGTCAAAGTAGCTGTTTGGCTACAAATCTAGCCGTTGTGCACCTTGCGACTTATCCAGAGATGACCGTTGTTCGGGGGGAGCCGAACCGCCCGCCCGTGGCCTATATAAGGGCGGGTTTGGTGGCGGGGTCGCCCCCACGACGACTCATTCGCTTTTCTTGCGTATGTAAATCGCTATCTTCTTTCTTTGCTTTACTTTGAGCTGCCAGCTGCGTTCCTTCTTCTTCGCTGCGCCTTCCTCCCAGGTCGTCGCCGCGGTGGCTTTCTTTTCCACCTTCGCCCATACTCGCCGGCCTGCCTTCTTCGGACCCTATCGCCACCTTCTTGGTGTTAGGGCAGGTGGCTGGGGTGCTCGCTTTGAGGAGTGCATGCTTGCCTCCGCCTCCGCTTTGGAATTTGAGAAGCTGCTGGAGGAGGATTTGGGGAGTGTCTCCGCGTCCGTCGGAGACCTGATAGTTGTGGATTCCAGAGTCATGGCGATAAAGTCATGGGATTTCGGCCCCTCCTCCATTAGTGAGGAGGCGGTCACGGAGATGTTGAAGGAATCGTATTTTCCTTCTACGAGGGTAAAAATCCTCCGCTCGGCCTGCACTGCCCGGGAGCCGGAGGAGGGATGTCGGTGGTGGTGTTCAGGACTTCTTCACCTGCGGCCTCCGCCTTCCTTACGTCCCCTTCCTCCGCCGGGTGTTGGAGACTTTCAACGTCCAGCTCCATCATCTGACTCCTATG